CTTCCTTGAATAAGATGCCCTTCAATTTTTAGGGTAAGGATTTTAGAAAAAAGTATCGTCTCATAGTCGGAAAAATACGGTAAGTTGTTCTGTATTTATTTTTATGAACTGATATCGGAATCTGATCTGATTTGCAAATGTTTCTTTTCCAGCCAATGTTCTTTTACTAATGACTGAAAAGGAGATGTTATTTAAATACAGGTAGTCCTTGCTTAGTGACCATTTGTTCAGTGACCTTTCAAATTTACGATGGTGCTGAATTAAGGGATTTATGACCTTGTCCAAGTTACAGCTGTTGCAGCGCCCCCACGGTCATGTGATCACGATCTGGGCCCTTGGCAATCAGTTCGCACATATGACTGGTTGCCAAGCACCCCATGATCATGTGATTACCATATGCAACCTTCCCCAGAAAGTCAATGGGGAAGCTGGCAGGAAAGGTCGCAAGCTGCTGCCACCTGCCTCATCTCTGGTGGCTGGCTGAAAGAGCTCCATGCTGAAATCCAAGCAGGATTTTGGCACAGGGCATTTTCAGCCAGCCCTCAGTCAAAGTGGACTCTCATCTCGGGGAGCTGGCTGAAAAAACTCTATGCCAAAATCCAAGCAGGATTTTCAGCCATGGAGGATTTTCAGCTTCAGAGTGGAGAGGCTTCAGAAGCCTCTTGACTCTAGGGCTGAAAATCCAAGCAGTTCTGAGGCCCCTGCATGCCCTCGCACAAACCCCCACGTGCCCTCCCCCACCTGGCAGCACCTGAGGCTTCCAACTTCCTGCCAGCTTCCCCACTAACTTGATTGTGGGAAGCTGGCAGGAACTTGCCTTGCCTAACAATTCTCACTTAACAGCAGCAGTCGAGGGTGCTAGGATTACAATTGCTAAGTGAAGAGGTCACGTGATTCGCTTAACAACCACATCACTTAGTGACCTAAATTGTGGTCCCAATTGTGGTCGTTAAGCAAGGACTACCTGTATGGTGCTTTGCCAGATACGGGAGAACCTGTCTCCCCATAAGTCTTATTCCTTAAAACCATCACAGAAATCAGAGGAAACCAATCACTTCTCCAATCACAAGCAATTAAACCAGAAGTTGTTTATAGTAATTTTTTCTTGTCATGGTGTCCTTTTCTGGGAGAGAAGTGGAAGTGCAGCCTTTCTCAGAGGCTCATGCCCCTTTATAGTGCCAGAGCAATATATTAAGCTGCAATGCTTTCAGATCTTTTGTACCAAACAATGGCTCCATAAACAGTATTGTGATTGTGTATACTTATTTGAACAAAATAATGGCAACAAATAAAATGCGTAGTACATTTAAGATAAAGCCATTTTGGTCTTAGGTCTAATTCAACATAATGCCAAGTAAATACATGATCCTCAGGTACCTGCTATTTTCAAAATGTTATGGAATATTTTTAGTCAAAAAAGAGACACACAACTAATATACTTACAAGCCAGTTATCTACAGCTTGCAAGCCTTCATCATTTCAGAAGAAATGTAGGCACATTTTTAGCACAAGCCTCTCTCACCTGAATGACAAGGGGTTTTAGCTGGTTGGGTTCTGGGCCTTCTAAAATGCACCCAAATGCCATGACAGCAGCATCTCGATATCGCCAGTCAGGATTTTTTATGTGTTCTTTAATGAAGGGCAAAACATGTGGGACAATATCATCTTCACAACAGGTTGCCAGAAGCATCAGGCACACCCCAGCTGCTTTACAGGGGTTCCAGTCATCATCATCATCATTCTCATCCTAAGTGGGGGAAAAATGGGAAGAGAAATTATTCAAGATTTATTATATTTTAAAATGGCTAAAATTTCATTTCATAATAAATCTGATTAGGTTTCAGGTGGGAACACTAACTTCTCATAACATTTGACAATCTCATAACAATTCAACCATATACTTTGGGGTCCTGAATTAGGAAAAAGTTGCCAGATTTTGCACACCATCCTAACAATTGTCAAAAACTCAGTAATAAGATAATGATCTGCATAAAGACAAATTTATTGACCAATGGTTAACAGAATGAATGGTTTCTTTAAAAGCAAAGTGACAAAGAAACTTTATGCAATTTGGTGCAAAATTAACAGAATTGTATTTTTAATATCAACAGCTGAGGCTTAAGTGCAGCCAAGATGGCCATAGCAGTATCAAACAACTGGTACCACCTCAGGTTGTCAAAATAAAGCTTTTTAAATTGTAGAGACTGATAAAGACTGGTTTCAAAGGGAAGCAGGAGATGCCTCCTAGCTCTGCTCAGGGCACAGTATTTCTTCAGTTACCTGTCTCCTTACTGGACAGTAGACAGCATGTAATCATTTTGGAACACTGTACGCCATGAGTAGGAAGAATTATGCATGGCTGATTTATGAGTGAATGGAGTCTCTGAATCACAGGATTACAACAGATATTTCAGAATCTTTGTGTATGAGAAAGTTATAGGTTAAGCCAAAAAATAACTGAAAATAGAATATACAGGTTTCCTTCTGCAGACCAGGACTTTTTAGGTCTGTTCTCAATATTTTCACAATTATTATGACAGTCCTCCCCAACCTGATGTCTTCCAAGTTAGTTGGATTTCAATTACCTGGCTGTAAGACCAGACCAAACAATAAAATACACTAGGAGATGAATTCCTATATAGCTGGAGGATACCAAGCTGGTGAAAACTGTAGGCCCTGAAACTACAGATAGTGCTTGCTTAACAAGCACCCTATTTAGCAATCAAAGTTACGACGGTGCTGAAAAAGTAACTTTA